GCAGGACTCTGGGCTACTATAACGGCTTCAGGTCCACTATAGGTGGACAGGAGTGGTGGCAACAAAAGCTGGCGAGATGCCACGGCCTGTGGGCAACCAGCTGCCTCCACCCTCATTCTTCCTGACCTTCCATTTCCACTTGTTCCAACTTCCCTGCCCTCCCCAGGAAGGAACAGCTTCTATATGGGCACTTGCCAGGACGAGCCCGAGCAGCTGGATGACTGGAACCGCATTGCAGAGTTGCAGCAGCGCAACCGAGTCTGCCCGCCGCACCTGAAGACCTGCTATCCCCTGGAGTCCAGGGTGAGCTCTGGGGTCACCTGCATAGGACCTGCCCACGCTGGCTTACCTTTTCCTCCCTTGGCATTCCATCCTAGTGCCACCTGCTGACCTAGCCTGAGTACTAGTGCCCTGGGTCTCTGGCCTCCAGGAAGGTGAGGTGACTGTATATTTCCAGTGGAACAGAAAGCAGGGAGGGAGTTAAGGGACGAAGTCACTGTGGGTAGGCAAGAGCTTGGAGAGGTCTGCTTGGGACTACTCTGCTCTGGCCTTTGTGTAGGGTGTAGGCAGAGAAAGCAACAGGGCAGGAGTCCTTTTGCAATAGGAAGGCTCCAGCTGTTCCACTTGCTGGGTCTGTGAGAGTCTGGGGCAGTACTGCTCCAGCTCCAAACACTTGTACCCCATGCAGCCTTCTCTGAGCCTGGCTACCATCACAGATGAGGAGATGAAAACCGGTGACCCCCAGGAGACCCTGCGCCGAGCCAGCATGCAGCCAACCCAGATAGCTGAGGGTGCTGGCATCACCACCCGGCAGCGCAAACGGGTCTCCTTAGAGCCCCACCAGGGCCCTGGCACCCCTGAGGTAGGTGACATTGGCTTCTGTGTTTTGTTCTGACAGCCTGCCCAGGTCAGGCTCAGCTCACCAAGTTTGAAAAGTGGACTAAAGGGTAGGCTGCTGGCTCGGAGGTGGGGTAGGGAGTGGGAATGGTGCTTCTGGCTGGACAGGCTGACGTATGAGGTCCACTCAGACACCTGGCTTTGGATGTGAAATCCTCTTGCCGCTGTCTGCCTAAGTGTCCTCTTCCCCATAGTCTAAGAAGCCCACCAGTTGTTTCCCACGTCCCATGACTCCCCGGGACCGACATGAAGGGCGCAAACAGAGCACTGTGGAGGCCCAGAAGAAAGCAGCACCACCTGCTGTTAAACAGGTGAGTCAGGGGTTGAAGGGAGACACTACAGCAGCAGGTTGGCCTGGGAAGGCAGCGACAGAGTACCCAGGTTGACCGCCCCTCCCCACAGGCTGACCGCCGCCAGTCCATGGCCTTCAGCATCCTCAACACGCCCAAGAAGCTCGGGAATAGCCTTCTGCGGAGGGGGACCTCAAAGAAAGCCCTGTCCAAGGCCTCCCCCAACACCCGCAGTGGAACCCGTCGCTCTCCTCGCATCGCCACGACCACAGCCAGTGCTGCCACTGCTGCCGCCATCGCTGCTGCCACCCCTCGGGCCAAGGGCAAGGTGGGGGCACTGATAGGGAACGGGGAGGGTTCAACACCCAGGAAACCTGGTGGAAGCCTGGGCACTGCCCCTGACCACCCATGGGACAGCCTCCAAGGCAGGGCAGAGCTAGGCTGCCAGAGGTTGGGGGCTAAGAGCAGGCGCTGCCCATCTTGGTTGGATGCTCAGTATTGAGGAGAGGAGACAATGACATTCCTAGTGAGAATGCCCAGAGCTGCTTAAACACAGCACCTGGTGAGCTGAAGGCTGACCTGTCTAGGGCCACACCATTGAAGGGGTCCTCGTTAGGGTTGTGCCAGAGCAGGAAGAGGTCTTCCTGAGCCAGCTATTGCAGGCTGGCATCACAAGTGTCATCCAACCGAGTGACTATGTCTCTTTCTTTCAGGCAAAGCACTAAAGGGCCGGTACCAGTGAGTGGCCCCACCTGTGTCCCTGATGCTGACCTTGCCTGGTCTTCCTCCTCCTACTGTCCCTCTCAGTGCCTTCTCTCAGCTCCCAGGCCAATAGTGGCCAAACCCCTAGAGACAGTGATGCCTGCCCACACCTTGGCCTGGTACCTGGACCTTTACCAGAGCCTTTACTAGGTGAACAGGTGTGTCCTCAGAGTTGGCCTGGAGCCTGGACAGTCTGGGTCCTCTCCCTACCTTGCCTCCTGATGTTTTCACAGAGCAAAGTCAAGTCACTTCTCCATCACAACCAGATTTGAGGCTGGCTTTGAGTGGCTGGGTCATTGTGCCCAGCCAGTCCTGTCAGCCTCTGGATCTAGAAGGGACCATTGGAGGAGCAGACCCTGGTCCCTGCTGCTCCTGGTGGCTGGGCCTAACAGGGTCCCTTGCTCTTAAAAGTCCAGGACTGGGCGTTGACCTAGTGGGAGCACCCCACCCCCAGGTGCTCCCATCCACCCAAGGACCCAGTTGCCCAGAGGATGCTCTTTTCCAGGAACGATGGGCCCATGCAGAAGGGGGTGCCAGGGGACAGCCTTCAGTGGCAGCTCATCCACCACCTTCCCCAGAATTGTACTGGGGTGGGATTTGGAGTGATGGGAAGGTTTTTAAGGGCCAGGGATGGATCTTTTCTAAATGTTATTACTTGTAAATAAAGTCTATTTTTCTCCCTTGAGTGCTGAGTTGCCTTGATCTTTGTGGGACAAGAAAGGAAATCTGGGTTCTTTAGAGCATACCTTTGTTCCTGCCCAGACCACCTACCGCCTTTCAAACCCCTTCTCCTGGCCTTTCTGGGGCAAAAAGATCGTCTCACACTTCATTTCTGGCTTCTGCTCAGGGAGCATTATGGGCTGTCCTTGTCTAAGGGCCTGTGTCCCCTGGATCTTTGTCTTTAGTTTCCAAGTGGCAGTCCTCTTCCCACAGTCCCTCCTGGAATGGGCCAAATTCTGTGAGTAGAAGGATGGCCTAAATGACTGAGATGTCAGTATGCCTCCACTGAAAAATCATTTATGAATGTCCATTGTGGGCTCTGCTGGATATGACACAGATTCAGCTGTATGCAGATCAGAAGCAGCCTCTGACCCATCCCTTCCCTGGGACAATCCAGTCAAGGAAAAATATATAGGCACAGCTTAGAGACATTGCAGCTTTGATTCCAGACCACTGAAGTGAAGTGACTATCCCAGGAGTCCCATGATTTTGTTTCCCGGTGCATATAAAGTTATGTTTACACTATTCTGTAGTCAATTACATTTGCAACAGCATTATGTCTAAAAAATGTACACATTTTAAAAAATAAACCATTGCTAAAAAGTGCTAACCATCATCTAAGCCTTCAGCAAGTCGTAATCTTTTTGCTGGTGGAAGGTCTTGTTGGCTGCTGACAGATCAGGGTGTTGGTTGCTGAAGGCTGCGGTAGCTGTGGCAATTTCTCAAAAAAAAAGTTGGCTCTATTGACTCTTCCTTTCATGGACAATTTCTCTTTAGCATGCAGTGCTGTTTGATAGCATTTTACCCATAGAACTTCTTTTAAAATTGGAGTCGATCCTCTGAGACCTTGCTGCTGTTTTATCAACTAAGTTTGTGTGATATTCTAAAATCCTTTGTGGTCATTTCAACAATCTTTATCTTCACCAGGAATAGATTCCACCTCAAGAAACCACTTTTTTGGCTCATCCATAAGAAACAACTCATCTGTTTTATCAGGAAATTTCAGTTCAGTTATCTTCAGGCTCCACTTCTAATTCTAGTTCGCTTGCTATTTCCACCACATCTGCAGTTACTTCTTCCATTGATGTCCAAGTCATCCATGAGGGCTGGCTTCAACTTATTCCAAACCCATTAATGGTGACATTTTGAATCATGAATGTTCTTACTGGCATCTAGAATGGGGAATAAGTTTTTTACTTTGCCCAGATCCACCAGAGGAATCACTATTATATGGCAACTATAGCCTTATGAAATGTATTTCTTAATAAGATTCGAAAGTTGAAATTACTCCTAGATCCATGGGTTGCAAAATGGATGCTGGGTTAGCAGTTATGAAAAACAGTTATATGTCTTCATCAGAACTCTTGGGTGACCAGGTGCTTGTCAATGAGCAGCAAAATTTTGAATCTTTTTTTTCTGAGCAGTAGGTCCCAACAATGGGCTAAAAATACGCAGTAAGCCATGTTGTGAACAGATGTGCTATCATCCTGGCTTTGTTGTTCCATTTCTAGAGCACAGAGCACATTTAGCATAATTCTTAAGGGCCCTTGGATTTTCAAATGGTAAATGAGCATTGGTGCCAACTTAAAAGTCACCAGCTGCATTAGCCCCTAACAAGATGGTCAGCCTGTCCTTTGAAGCTTTGAAACCAGATGTTGACTTTTCTCTAGCTATAAGTCCTGGATGGCCTCTTCTTCCAATAGAAGGCTAGTTTGTCTACACTGAAAATCTAGTAAGGGTAGCCATCTTAACTTTCTTAGCTAGATTTTCTGCGTAACTTGTTGCAGATTTTCCATCAGTGCCTGCTGCTTTACCTTCCACTTCTATGTTATGGAGATGGTTTTTTTTTTACCTTAAATCTCATGAGCCAACTTCTGCTAGCTTCAAACTTTTCGTCTGCAGCTTCCTCACCTCTCTCAGCCTTTACAGAATTAAAGAGTTAGGGCCTTGCTCTGGATCAGGCTTTGGCATAAGGGAATGTCGTGGCCAGTTTCATCTATCCAGGCCACTAAAACTTTCTCCATATCAGCAATAAGGCTGTTTTGCTTTCTTGTCATTTGTGTGCTCCCTGGTGTAGCACTTTTAATTTCCTTCAGAAACTTTTCCTTTGCATTCACAACTTCGCTGTTTGGTGCAACAGGCCTAGCGTACGGCCTGGCCTGTCTCATGTCATGCCCTCCTCGTGTCGAAAGCTTAACCATTTCTAGCTTTTGATATAAAGTGAGAGATTCATGACTCTTCCTTTCACTAGAACACTTAGAGGCCACTGTAGGGTTATTAATTGGCCTAATTTCAATATTATCTCGAGGAAGAGAGATAAAGAATAGCTGGTTGGTGGAGCAGTCAGAACACACATTTATCAATTAAGTTCACCATCTTATATGGGCATAGCTCGTGGTGTCCCAAAACAATTACAACGGTAACATTAAAGATCGCTGATCACAGGTCACAACAAATATAATGATGAAAAAGTTTGAAATATTCTGAGAATTATCAAAATGTGACACATACAAAGTGAGCAAATGCTGTTGAAAAAATTGTGCCAATGAACTTAACACAGGGTTGCCACAAAACTTCAGTCTGTAAAAAATGCAATATCCGCGAAACACAATAAAGCAAAGCACAATAAAACGAGGTACGCCTGTACAAATTTAACATATAACCTTAAGGTGGTGCAGAGTGTGGCCTGAGCTGAGAGGGCCTGGACCTAAATGAAGAGGTGGCATTTCAACCAGGCTTCAGAGTCAAGATGGTGAGGCAGAGGGGACCCTCTGGAGGGCTTCTCGAGTAGTGGGCACAACTGTGCTCAGCTCAGCCTGAGGAAAGTGAAGGTAGACAAGGATCAGGGCCAAGGCAGGGAGGGACATATCCTGTCACTTCCTTCTAGGCCATGCTTCCTCTGCCTGAGTCCTAAATTCTTCTCAGTTTCCACCTCAGGCTTGGGGACATGGGAAGATGGTGGTCATTAAGGGAAACAGCTTTGAGAGGAGCCCACCCTCCCCTCCCTGCATTGGAGCAGAGTTCCTCCGGTCCCTGGAAACCTTTCCTTGGGTTCCTCACCAAGCACTGGGCCAGTACGACGTGACGCTGGACTGTGTGCTCGGGATCCGTGAAAACACAGGAGAAGTTGGTACTGCGTAGGGCGGGGCTCAGCTCCTCCAGCACCAAGGCCTTCCACAGCTGGGTGCTGGTGCCCCTGTGCTCCCGGCTGGCGCAGAGGAGGAAAGGCCGTGAGAGAAGCACAACAGGAGGCCTCCCTCCTGCTGGCCTCGCCACCACGCCACTCACCTGGTGCTGCCCTCCCACAGCCGGCCTGGGAGATGCTCGATGAAGGAACCATTGCCCAGCCAGTAGAGGATGCTGAAGTGGGGAAAGCGACTGCAGGCAGTGCAGGACAAGGTCAGCGTTCCATCTAGGGACACGTGTGGCTGTCAGCACTTCCGTAGAGCAGACCTCCCCTCTGCCATTTTGTGGCCTGCGCACCCTGCCCAGCTCCTTAGTCCCTACAACCCAGGAACCTGGAGTGCTGCTGGGCACACTACCCAGGTGAGAAAATCCATTAAAGGGGAGGAATGGCTGTCTACTAGGAGGCCCTGGGCTGAGCAAGAAGAATCTGAGGACAGGTCCTTGGCTCAGGTGATGACTTCTGAGCTTGTTTCTTCAGGATGACCTTTTTCAGTGTACAGCTCCGGTAACTCTGAGAGCCCCGGCCAAGGAGGCAGCATCAATAGGCCACTCTTCCTCTGAGGTGGCCGGAGGGCACGCAGGCTCTGGGAGGGGTTGGGCCTACGAGCACACTGCAGTCAAGGCTCTGGGAGTCCTCCGACCATTCCTTATGTCTGAATTCTCTGTCCCATTTAATAGGGAGCATCTTGGGAGCTGGAGCTTGCACCCGCTCAAGATGCTGGGTGGGAGAGGGAGAATGCTGAATGCTCAGCCAAGCTGACTTGGTGGGTGGTGGGCTATATGGCAGAAGGGGACAAGGATTATGTTCTGGAGTCAATCCCACCCTTGGACCCTCTGTGCCCAGAGCCTGCCCTCCCACCACTGTGCCCTCCTGGGCTTCCAACAGAATCGCTCCTTACTTAGTGGGATTTCCACTTCTGGCCAGGTCACCTCCAATGCTGGACATCGCTTAGCTGCTGGGAGCATTAAGGGCCAGGAGGGGCAGGAGTCCTTTGCGACCCCAGCTGAGGCAGTGGCAGCTGTGGTGGCCTGAGGTATAGGTGTGGCTCTGGCTGAGTGGAAGATGATGTGGACACACAGAAGCAGGACCCACAATGTGCTGGGGTCTGAGGAAAGGACAGTCACAGAGATCAGTAGCTGCTGGACCACTTGGGAATGCTCACCACCTAGGCTCAGGTCTTGCCTGGATATAGCTCTGCCCAGGGAATCAGAGAAGAAGGCCTCTCGGCCCCCCACCTCTTGGCCCTTTTTGAATGGAGCACAAGGAGACTGTGGAATGGAGCCAGAGCCACTGCATCTGGACAGAGGCTGAAAGCAACAGCACACAGTGGAGTGGAGTCACCTGGGGGCTAAGGCTTGGGGCAGCCATACTGCTCTATTCTGTTCTCAGACCCTAGCCCCCCATACACACACCCCAACCCCCACACATAGCCCCAAGACTCACCTGGTATCCAGTTCTGTCTCATGGTCACAATGTATGTGTCAGGAGTTGGCGTGCTGGCTCTATGTATGTGATGACTTCCTCTTCTCTGGCGGGAGGTGGGGGAGAATGATGAATAAATTACTTCATATCGCCTCAGAAGCGCGCCAACCGTAGGCATATATGTGGCTCTCTCCTTCCTGTGGACTCCACAGCCCCTCCCTAGGCCTGAACGTTTGGTGGACTTCCCAGCATTGCTATTTACTCTTTCGCGTTTGTCCTGCCCAGCATTGCCATTTACTGTCCCGTTTGTCCTGCCTATCTGTCCCAATCGACAACTCCTAGAAGACAGGCATCCAACAAAGGCTGGAGCGCTTCAGCACTTAGAAAGCTGGAGGATTGTCTAGAGGTAGCCTTTCCCCACCCAAGGTCTAATTACCATCAACACCTAGTTATAGTCCAACCAACCCCTTCATTATAGGGACTTACCTAGTCACAAAGGGAGACAAAGCTCTTCATTGTCAGAGCTGGTTCTGAGAAGGGCAGGATAAAGTGAAATTCTTCTGGGAAAACACTGGTCCCTTCCCCCATCTCACTTTCATTTTCGTTCTAGCCATGGAATCCAAAGTGAGTTCTCGGCCACTAATGGGGCACACGTACATGACAAGCATCTTGGCTCAGTCCTCGAGGTTTCTGCATACTGAGCCTCTTCTTGAGCCAAAGTTCACAGTGGCCAGGAACCATCCTATCTCTCAGGACCCCCTACTCTCCAGGTGGTGGTATACTGGGGGTCTTTAATCCACCCTTATCCTCACCCTCCTGGGGTCACAAAGGGTATGAACAAATGAGAAAGTCTCTCACAGATCAATTTTCCTGTTCCAGCAAAGGGTCAGGACTTTAAGTGTCCACCTTTGCTCTTCAGGGCCAAGGCTTCTGCTTCTATATGAGCAGGCCTCCTGTTTACTTCTTCACATCACATCCATGTTCAAGAGGACAACTCTCTTAGGCACTGGGGACCCCAAGTTGTTGGATCACTTTGACCATTTCATGCTCAAAGCCACATCAGCCCATCCACACCCTAATCTTTCCCAGGCTCCCCACTCCTGCCAAAACCACCAAGCCAAACACCCATCTATCACCACCACAAGCCCCTCGCTCATCTCATCCTAGCTCCCTGGTCAGAGCTACAGGCCCAGATTCACCAGGAAGCCTAGATTCCCTCTAGTTGACTCCCAAGAAGCCTGAAGAGCCCTGGTGTTCGGAATCCCTTCTCACAGCTCCACGGCTCAGTTCGCTGTATCTGACCGCGTGTGAGCCTCACTGTGGGAACTGTGCCGAGAGCACTTCCCGGCCTGTCTGGGAACCTCTTGGAGACAAAAACTTGGAACACGAGCTGGAGAGCTGGTTCTAAGAGAAGGCCTCAGCTTCTCACATGAGCCTAATGTGGGGGTTGGGGGGGACAAAAGTGAAAAGATGATCCCTGGACCCTTCAACCAGGCCCCATCCTCTCTCTAGGGAAAGGTGGGTAGCCAGCCCAACACTGGCTCCAGAACAACAGAGCTGTATATACATGCTAGTCTGGTCACTAATGAGACAAATGGAGCTGGGGCTGAGGCAGGGCCAAGACTAGGGTGAGGTGAATGAGGCACCAAGGATGCAAAACTGAAGGTGGCACTCACTGTCAGGATTGTGGAGGCAGAAAGAGCAGGACTGGAGCTCCAGTGCATGCATTTTCAAGTGTGAAGGGCAAGATCTGAGTGTCTGAGGTTTGTGATTTCGTGATCAGGAGGATAGGAAAGCTGGGGACAGAGACAGTCCTTTGGAGGATGGGAGGGAGAGGAGAGGAGATAGAACTCTCGAGTGTCATAGAGACCAGAGTTGGGCTGCTGGGAGGTCACGGGACTCAGAACTGGTAAAATATGCCAGCCTGGACATGTAAATGAGCTGAGAGGATGTCAGGAACACCATGTGCTCCAATCCCAAGGTTGTGTGTGCGCGCGCATGTGCACATATGAGTAAAAACGTGACTCATGTTCCTAATTTACACATAGGAGACAAAGCCACATGCTCTTCTCCAGGATTCTATTTGACATTTTCCTCCTCTAAGTTCCTCCCCGACTCCTGTCCCAGGAGCTCCCAGGCTCTGCAGACACAGGGAAACTCCTCCGTAGGCACCCTAGCACCCCTAGCAGTTAGGTCAGGAGGCAAGGTCGCATGGGGCTCTGAGAGACGCAGTCCTTTGGAGGATGGGAGGGAGAGGAGATAGAACTCTGGAGTGTCATCAAGACCAGAGTTGGGCCGCTGGGAGGTCATGGGACTCAGAACTGGTAAAATATGCCAGCCTGGCCTCAGCTTCTCACATGAGCCTAATGTGGGGCTTGGGGGGACAAAACTGAAAAGATGATCCCTGGACCCTTCAACCAGTCCCCACCCACTCTCTGAGGATGGGCATGAGCAGTGGGGGCCTGTGGGAAGCCATATCTGGGCCGGAGAGAGAGCCGGAGTTGAGAATGGCCCATGAAAAAGGGTGGTGGCAGGACACTGACCTCAGGTGCTAAGGACAGAGTCACCAGTGGTGCCCTAGGGCCTTATCTGCTACAGGACAGGAGCCCTGCATTCCACCACTCCCAGGGATGCTGAGTAGGGCCAACCACCCAGGGCCCCAGCTCTCAGATGGGAACAGCAAAAGGTAACCAAGGCAAGGTACCCCCGGGGACCCCATGGAAAGAGATGAGAAGAAGAAAAGCAAGATGATGTTCAGCTTTCCAACCCAGCTCATGGAGCTTTATTCAGAGTGACAAGATCCTGCTTGGTTTCTGCTGCCCTCGAAGGGGCAGGCTCAGCCGGGCCATATTCCCTAGAAGCCCAGTACGGAAGGCCATGTTTGTTCTCCTCCTTCCTTTAAAACTTCTAGGACCAGGGCTGAGGTCTCCCTGGAACCCCTATTCAGAAGTCGTACTCACCTGGGCTATACCCCCCACCCATCATTCCTGTTGCCAGGCCCAGGCAGGACTCATAAATGATGAAGCTGATATAGGGATGTTTCCTGGGCTGGGAATCCCCTGCCAGCTTCAAGGGAACACTGTCTGATGACAGGGAGAAGTCTCACATCTGCTATAGTCCCACAGACGCACACACACGCTTTCATTTAGGCTTTCAGGGAAGGAAGTGATGTGGCAGAATGGCTTTTGGCACATGTCACCACTTCCGGGCTCAAAGGGCCCTCAATCATTGATGTCGACAGCAGCCCCGTGGTCTCTGTTGCTCGCTGAGTACAGCCCTGCTTGGGGGCGGGTTACTCATGCTGCTGCTGCTGCTTCTGGCTGTCCCCAAACAAATCCTCAATGCATTCTGAGGTCCCCAGTCTTCCCTCACTGGAAAAGTCACAAGGTTCCACTTGCCTCAACCAGCCTATGGCTCCTGGACAGGGGAAGAGAGAGTCAGACACAACATCCATCCTATGTCTCAGACAGGGGAGGAGGAAAGACACCTCACCCCTCAGTGCTCATCTGTGGCACCAGAGTGCTTCAGCTCTTCCACACCGAGTGTACAGGCCGTGAGCCCCACAGAGGGAGGAAAGGGGAGGGGGTAGGCTAAGGCTCTCAGCCAGAGGTGGGAAGGCTTTTTAAACCAAAAAGTTTGTGGCTCTGCTCCTGCCCTGCTCAAGCTGGGAGGGTGAAGCCTGGAGGAGTTGGGGCAATTCCTATGCTCCATAATAAAAAAAGTTTTTAAATATATTCATCAAAATAGTTTTCTTTTAAAAAGCCCCCACTGCTGACAGCCGCACTGGCTAGCTTGCCATCATACCCGTCCCCAACCCGGACACAGCCGGAGGGTCCTGAGTGGCCCAAGTGCCCCTCTGAGTCTTTCCCACCCAGGAGGTCTTGAAGGGCAGGAAGAAGAGTGCCCTGAGGTCCATGGTGGGTGGATGCTCTTCTGCCTACTCCAGGCCCAGGATGTAGTTGATGCCTTGCACCAGTCCAATGATGACAGGCTGCCAGGCTACCAAGTATCGAAGCCAATCCAGCAGTTGCCCATACATGACATGAGGCCTCTCCCAGCTGTCAGTGTGTTAAAGAAAAGAGGCTATGTGTTAGAGCTGCTAAGGTTGGTCTAGGGGCTGGGTCAGAGGGTCCTCCCTGGGATTGCCCACGCTTCTAGCTGCTCCACAGAATCAGCCTACAAGGAAAGAGAGCTGCTTTCTAGAAAGCTCCACCCAGTCTTTCCATGTTTGAATAAAGGGCTAAACTCAGAGAATGAGGGAAGGCGGGAAGAGGGGACCAGTGCCGAAGATAGGAGTGGAGAAGTGACACTAAGCTCTCCATGACCAGCATGCACAGACGGCCTCCCATTTAACTAATTCTCTACGATGGGACTGCCAGTGTGAGAAAACACAGTCTGAGACTGCTGTATGTAAATGTATCTGTGACAAAGGCTACAGGGAAGCTGGGAGTGAAATAAGGTAACCCCAAAGGTTCTTATAACGTCCAATATGGAAAGTTTTCTAGGTCAAGGAAGAAGTTCAGTCTAAGGACAGAGGCAGAAAGGAACAAGAGGTTAGTCACAGGGGATGACTTCTAGCAGAGGCTTCACCCAAGGGCACTAGGCACCAGGCCCTGCTGAGGCCAAGCAACTCTAGAGATGAGTTCCCTTCCTTTCTCTTTACAGATAAATGCTAGGCAAGACATTTGGAGAGGGAGTCTGGGATTCCAGTATTGGAGAAAGCACTAGTTGAACCTCCTGAGACTGTGGAGGAACCTCTCCAAAGGCATCAGAAAGAGCAGCTGGCCCAGTCCCTGAGAACTAAGAGAAGTCCCAAGCATCCGCTTGACCAATGAGCTACTGAACCGTTCCTAAACTAGCCCCTGGAAGAACCAAGCAAGGAACCTTAAAGGGTTGGTCTGTTCCGGGACTGTGCAAACGTACTGAGAACGCAGTGGCTCCCACACTGCCCAGCTAGTGTCCAAGGGATGGGAACTCTGGCACAAAGAGAAAAGGCAACTGGGAGGAGAGGAAGAAAGCTGGGTTTCTGGATCCTGGGGGAAGAGAGCGGGGTGGAAGAGAAGTGGCTGAGCACTATCCAACAGACATGCTGTGAGGCGGAAGAGG